CTGTAGTTCAGGGAAGACAGCAATAAACCAAATCGACTTAGTATCTTTCTTTAAGAAGTTTACATTTACTGGCAGAGACAGATGATAAACACATAAAACAAATGTATAACATCACATCACACGGTGACACTAGGGAAAAAATCAGTCATAAATGCTTGGTAAGTGTCAAGAAGAAAAAGCGGTAGAGTGATAGGGCACTGTTTATGGGCAGTGGCCAGAAGGGAGCTCTCTGAGGAAGTGACATGTCATCGGAGACCCCATAGGGCTCATTCGGGATCACAAGCCCTTAAAACTGTGCCATCTCCCAGGAAGAAGATCAGGACCAATTTTTCCAGGAAACTTGCCGACCTTGCTAAGTTGGGAGTCGGTGATCTGTTGGAGGCTTGGTAAACAGCCATCCTTCTCCACTGACGACTCTTTGGACATTAAAAAAAGTTTAATGGGTCATTGATTTGTAGTGCTGATTTCCTCCATTAGCTAAATCCATGAAGAAAAGGCTGGGGAAGCCACGTGAGATCATTCCTCAGCCACGCCTGCCAGGAAGAGGTTTTAGCCACCATGTCACGTGATCATTTGTCTATTTTCTAACCAGTCATCACTAAAGGTTCCCAGTCGCCACCATCACATTGCTGGAGGATCCCAGGGTGTGGCTGCTTCTAGGCCAGGCCTTAGCAGGGAAGTGCCAGAGCTTTGCAGATCAACACCCAGCCTCAGAGTCAGGGCAGACCTGAGTCTGAGTCCCTCCTCTCAACGACATATCAAGGAAACAGACAAGAAGTGGAGGTTTCTGCCCTCCTAGAACATGACAGTGGAGGGCAGGAGAAGGAAACAAGCTAACAAATAAATAAGACACGGATGAGTGCTAGCAGTCACCAGAAGCTAGAAGAGGAAAGGGAGGTTCCTCCCCTAGAGAGTGACTGGGGACTATTTTAGGGGTGGTGGTCAGGGAACACCTGTTCAGGGAGGTAACATTTGACCTGAGACCCAAAAACTGAGAAGATCTTTAAGAAGCATGATCCAGGCAGAAGGAGGAGTTGGTGCAAAGGGCCTGGGGTAGGAGCCAGCCCTGTGTATTTGGAGATAGACCTGAGACTGCAGGGAAGTAAGTGAGGGGACACGGTCACGTGGGCCTTGTGGGCGAGGGCTAGACATGATTTGGGTTTTCTTCTAAGTAGGATGGGGAACTGCTGGAGGGTTTTGCGTAAGAGGGTTTCATGATACATATATATATATATATATGTTGCCCAGACTGGAGTGCAGTGGCTATTCACATGTGTGATCCCACTACTAATCAGCACAGGAGTTTTGACCTGCTCCATTTCCGACCTGCGTCAGTTCACCCCTCCTTAGGCAACCTGGTGGTCCCCCACTCCTGGAGGTCACCATATTGATGCCAAACTTAGGGCGGACACCCGATCAGCATAGCGCACTACAGCCCAGAACTCCTGGGTTCAAGTGATCCTCCCACCTCAGCCTCTCGAGTAGCTGGGACTACAGGCACGCACCACCATGCCCGGCCGTTTATCTCCTTTATTGGCTATTATTTAAAGCTGTGTAGTAATGATAGTTAATATTTATTGAGCCACTCAGTATACGAAGAGCATGATATGTACTCATCCAATCTTCACATCATCCCTATGAGGCAGGCACTTTAATTATCTCCGTTTTACGAAGGAGCTCACAGAGCAGGGATTAATGAAAATTTGCCCAAGCTTGCACTGCTAGAATTTATGCAGCTGGAACTTGGACCCATGAAGCCTGGCTCCAAGGCAGGAACTCCTCTGGAGACCAGGTTAGAATGCAGGTTTCCATACCAATGTGCAATACTACTCTGGACAAGTAATTTTGCCTCTCTGTGCCTCAGGTTCCCCCCCTTTTTTTTTTTTGACAGAGTCTGGCTCTGTCACCTAGACCCAAGTGCAGTGGCGCGATCTCGGCTCACTGCAACCTCCGCCTCCTGGGTTCAAGCAGTTCTCCTGTCTCAGCCGCCTGAGTAGCTGGGTCTACAGTTGTATTCCACCATGCCTGGCTAATTTTTTTTTGCATTTTTAGTAGAGATGGGGTTTCACCATATTGGTCAGGCTGGTCTCGAACTCCTGACCTCAGGTGATCCACCCACCTTGGCCTCCCAAAGTGCTGGGATTACAGGCGTGAGCCACTGCACCTGCCCCCCGACCCCATCTAATGTTTTATTTTTATGTTTTTTGAGAAAGGGTCTCACTCTGTCATCTAGGCTAGAGTGCTGTGGCATGACCGTGGCTCACTGCAGCCTCAACTTCCCAGGCTCAAGTGATCCTCCCACCTTAGCCTCCTGAATAGCTGGGATGACAGGTGCATGCCACCACGCTCGGCTAATTTTTTTTTTTGAGACAAGGTCTCCTTCTGTCACTCAGGCTGGAGTGCAGTGACGCGACCTCGGCTCAGTGCAACCTCCGCCTCCCAGGTTCAAGCAATTCTTGTGCCTCAGCCTCCAGAGTAGCTGGGATTATAGGCATGCCACCCTGCTAATTTTTGTATTTTTAGTAGAGATGCGGTTTTGCCATGCTGGTCAGGCTGGTCTTGAACTCCCAACCTCAGGTGATGCACCCACCTCAGCCTCCTAAAGTGTTGGGATTACAGGCATGAGCCACCACAGCCATTTGCTTTCTTTGTCTATAAAATGAGAATAGTAGCACCTGTATTGGAGGGTTGGTGTGGAGATTGAATGAGAATGTGTACTTAGAATTCCAAGCATAATGCCTGCCACAAGCACTCAGGGAACGGGCTGGAACTCAGCTGATAATACCAGGCAGTGGCTGTGGGCAACACAGAATGAAGACCTTTCTGTGCCTCAGTTTCCTCTTCAATTTTTTTTCTCTTCTAGGTTTTCTGACTGCCTGGAGTTCACAATGTCCACATGACATGCCAGGCCCAGAGGGGGATGGTTTAAACCTGCAGAAGAGCCTGAGGGAAGGCAACCTGCCCAACCTTCTCATGGGTACTTCAAGGATCACAGGTATGAGAATCAGCTGGAGTTGTGGGTGAAAATGCAGACTCCTGGTCTCATCCTTAGACCAAAGATATCTGAATCCTTTGAAGGTGGGTCCAGGAACCTGCATTAGTCAACACTTCCCAGGTGATCGTATATGTTAAAAGACAAAATTACAACCAATGTCGTTTAAACATCTTAACTGGCTTTATTTGTGATTCTTTATGGGGCAAGACTTCATTCCAGAAAATAGCACAGGTGTCCCAATGAGAGGAGATTGGTTTTATAGACAGAAAAGGGCTGAAAAAAGCAGAAACAAAGAACTAAAAGTGATTGGTCATTTCAAAGTTACTTTCCTTGTAAGGCAGGAACATGGAAACAGAACAAGAAAGAAATAACTGATTGGTTCATACCAGGTTACTTCAGGTTACTTTTTGTTGTAAGGTTTAAAGCGAAGGGAACTTCATTATGCTGATTAAACCCAGCCTGTTTGGGAAATCAGGCTGTGTATCTCTGTGATTTCGTGAAAGTTACCAGTCTGATGATGTAGAACTTTAGATTAGTGACACCATTTTAATTTTTAGTCTAGTCTGTTGGGACCCTAGTGCAGGAACTTTTTTTTTTTTTTTTTTTTTTTTTTGAGATGGAGTTTCCCTTTCATTGCTCAGGCTGGAGTGCAGTGGAGCTATCTCGGCTCACTGCAACCTCCGCCTCCAAGGTTCAAGTAGTTCTCTGCCTCAGCCTCTGGAGCAGCTGAGATTACACACGCCCGACACTACGCCCATAAATTTTTTTTGTATGTTAGTAGAGACGGGGTTTCACCATGTTGGCCAGGTTGGTCTTGAACTCCTGATCTTGTGATCCACCTGCCTCAGCCTCCCAAAGTGCTGGGATTACAGGCATGAGCCACCGTGTCCGGCTTTTTTTTTTTTTTTTTTTTTTTTTTTTTTTTTTTTTTTAAGACAGGGTCTCGCTCTGTCACCCAGGGTGGAGTGTAGTGGCGCCATCAAAGCTCACTGCAGCTGCCACCTCCTGGACCCCGGTGACCTTCCTGCCTTAGCCTCCCCAGCAGCTGGCCCCACCACATCAGCTAATTTTTTAGCTTTTAGTAGTGACGAGGTCTCATTATGTTACCGAGGCTGGTCTAGAACCCCTGGCCTCAAGGTATCTGCCCACCTCTGCCTCAACAAAGTGCTGGGATTACGACGTGAACCACCGCGCCTGGGCTCTTACGATTTTTATTTAACATAATGCACCATGAAATTTGTGCTCTGCCTAGTTCAGTCTGAGCAGGAGTTCCCTGATACTTTGGAAAACATTTAAAATCATTCCAGTAGGCCGGGTGCAGTGGCTCACGCCTGTAATCCCAGCACTTTGGGAGGCCGAGGCGGGTGGATCACGAGGTCAAGAGATCGAGACCATCCTGGCCAACATGGTGAAACCCCATCTCTTAAAAAAGAAGAAAAGAAAAGAAATAAAATCATTCCAGTAAAAAATAGAAAAGAAAAAAATCATTCCAGTATTCCATCCATTCATTCCTGCAGCACCCAAATGGAAATTTTGCGTTTCAGACAGGGCACTACCCTTAGAGTAGTGGGCTTCCCCAGCAGCCTGGTGAACCACGACACTCCTGAGTTTCATGAAAAGAGAGCAGACATCTGGCCAGAGCTGGGAGGCAGGAAGTGGATCACAGTGTCCTCCTCCCATACTCCAGCTTGGGTTACTGAGGCCAGGGCCCTGGCGCTGCAGAAAAGGTGCATGACTACTTTAAGGCCACTCACTCTGTGACTCAAAGGGCCCGGTGGAGGCTGGAACTCAAGGATCTCCCAGACCGCTGAGCCCACGCGCCACGGGCTGGGCTCCCGGGGTCGCCTAGGCAACCGGCGAGCGCCACGCCCGAGCCCAGAGCCCCCGAGGGGAGGAGGAAGCGCGAGCTATTAGACGTCTCGCGGTGCTACGGCTACTTCCCCTAGCACCTCCCCCGACTCCTCCCCGCGGAAGTGCTTTTCGACATTCTCGATCGGTGATTGGTCCTTACGCCTCAGGGGCGGAGCCCCTGGCAGCCGCGGTGCGTAGTTCCGGCTGCCGGTTGACATGAAGAAGCAGCGGCGGCTAGGGCGGCGGTAGCGGCAGGAGTTGGGGCTTGCAGCGGGCCTCGGGGCTAAGAGCGCGACGCGGCCTAGAGCGGCAGACAGTGCAGTGGGCTGAGAAGGAGGCACAGCAGCCGCCCTGGCCCATCATGGAGATGGAAAAGGAGTTCGAGCAGATCGACAAGTCCGGGAGCTGGGCGGCCATTTACCAGGTGCGGGAGCGCCCCGGAGCGTGGCGGGCCCTTCGCTTAGGCAGCGTGACTATCCTCCTCAGGTTCCCAGGCCCCAGACTCCCTCTGGGTCTCGCCTCCGCCTCGCGCCTACCGCTTGAGGATTCGATGGGACAGCGACGCACTGCGCCCCCGCTCTCTTTGTCCCCCTGGTGGGCCTGTTTCGCTCCGCGGCCGTGGAGCCCCCTTCAGTCCCCCACCTCCTTCCTATTCTCCAGCCCTGGTGACTTCCCAAGCTGGGGGGCCGCCGGTCTGTGCTCTAAGCGCGAATCCCTCGCACCCCGACCCCGCCCCCTGCCTGTCCACTCTTTGTCCCCTGGGGTGATTTAGCACCCCCACTGTTTCCTTTTCTGGATTGGACCACCTCAGACTCTCTCCCTTTGTCTCCCTGGGGGAAAAGGTTACTCACCCCCCTTCACGTTTCCTTTCCCCTCGTCTCAGTGTGCGTCGAGTCCCAGGGATGACAGTCCCCTTCCCACTTTCTGTTCATTCATTTATTGGATAGGAGTTGGCGAGCCTGTTCTGTAGTGGGCATCGCTTAGGCACTGGAGATTGTGTTTGCTAAACAGGGCAGGCAAGATCGTAGTCTTAGTGAAGCGTAGAGTCGAATAGGGCAATCAAACACAGGAGCGAATAATTCAGTTACAGGTGCTGTGAAGGGAACGACTTCCTAACGGGGTACAGGGTGACTGCCTAGCCAGTGCAGGTGCCGGCTGCCTTGGAGACAGGGATCAGGGAAGGCCTGTCAGAGGCAGAGACATTTGCTTTGCGAGCTGAACCAGGAGGAGCAGAAAGCCATGAGAATATGGGGCTAAAGAACCTTCTGGCCAGGAGGCCTGCGGTCCACACTCCATTGAGGCCATGATACTATCTTTTCGGGCAGGGAATCAGGAAGGTTAGCGTTTTAACCCTCTCTAAAATAGCATCTTTCCTCAATGAGCAGCTTAGTCTTTGGTCATGGCTGAGATGACCTTGTCTTCGGAGTCTTCATCTCTTTGTGTGTTAAAAAGTTAGGAAAGTAGGGTTTCTTGTATATCTATAAAACAAATAGTTAAAAACACAAAGAGATTTTCCTTTCATAAGCAGCTAAATCCTCTGAAGAAAATACGTGCTCCCAATTAAATGTCATTGCGGGGGCTGTGAAGATTAAAACCACGCTTGCACAGTATCTTAAATTAAGCGATGCACAGAATAGAGAGATTTTGTTACTTGTATAAAGGGAGAAGGCCGTTTATTCTGTTTTCGGCTTACAGGCTCAAAAGGCAAATTGTGAGATCTTTCAGCTGTTTTGAGCACCGCTTAAAAAGGAAAAAAGCTTTAAGGAGTTCTTTGGTATGCTTGACTAACAAAAGCCTTTTTTTGACAGCCTTGATTTTCATGTGAATTTACATCAAGCTTATTTGACGGGATTCTTTTTATTTGGACTGTAGTGTGTATATTAGTTTCTGCTAGACTAATATTTCTAACCACTGTAATCAAATGCTAATACATATGATCAGTATATAAAACTTGTGTATCATATTTGGTCTCTGAATTAGTTGAATGAATTCTGCAAGTGACAGGATGTGTAGACAGATTTTCTGCATCAGTTTAATGCAGTTGAGTCTTAGGTGGCTTTAAATGAAAATTTGAAGTGTTGGAATTGATTACGGTACACCCCATCACAAGTGGAAGCATTGGGAGAAATCTTTTTTCTACCACGCTCATACTTGGCTAATTTTTGTATTCTTAGTAGAGATGGGGGTTTCAACCATATTGGACAAGCTGGTCTCGAACTCTTCACCTCGTGATCCTCCCACCTCAGCATCCCAAAGTACTGGTATTACAGGCATGAGCCACTCTGCCCCACCTGTTTCTTACAGTTTTAAGCCAGGGTGGCCTGACCTGTCACCCAAGCATTGTTAAAACTGTTAAGCATGCAACTGTCATGGAGGGTGTCAGTTTTCAATTAAGTTCCTTCATTGTTCTTAAGTTTTTCTGCCACAGACCCCACAAGGTAGTCGAGGTGTTGAGATTTTCCCTGCTTCTTAATGGATTGCCACATTCTGGGAGGTAGTTTCTTTTGGTCTTAGAAAATTGTCACGGTGGGCTTTTCTCACCTCCACTGTATGGATATTTTTCTTCTCTAAAATCTTGAAATCAGAAGCTTTTCTGTTTTGTTTAAGAGACGGGGTTTCGCCATGTTGGTCATGGCTGGTATTGAACTCCTGACCTAGTGATCTGCCCACCTTGCCTCCCAAAGTGCTGGGATTACAGGCGTGAGCCACTGCGCCCAGCTGCTTTTCTCCTTTTTAACTGTAAAGGTAGCTCTTCGGCATACAGCTGTAGCACTTTCTAAAACTGTTCAAATGACCTTGAGTCTAAAGTGGCTAATTTTCCAAGGTATGTATCACTTTACCAAAATCATTATTTTTCAAAGATTCAAGGAAATGTATTTACAATTGGCAGAAAATGGAAGTTTAAAAAAATGAATATTTTATTACATGTCAGAATGAGGGCAGCCTTATACAGAGACATAGTTTGAGCTTGCTTAGCCTATTGTGATTAGAGAAGCAATGTAATTTTTGCTTACAACTTGGTAAACAGATCAGTTACTCTTATTTTCTAATTAAAACAAAAAGATGTAAAAACTCAAAAACTAGTGAAAAAAATGAAAAGAGTGAGGAGAACTTTGGAATGCTGAGGAATATGGCAGCTTAGAAAACAAATTTTTCAGGCAGAGATTCTATGCCAGGTCAGTTTGATAAAGTGAGCATAACTATTTTTTTTTTTTTTTTTTTTTTTTTTGAGACAGAGTTTCGCTCTTGTTACCCAGGCTGGAGTGCAATGGCACGATCTCGGCTCACCGCAACCTCCGCCTCCTGGGTTCAGGCAATTCTCCTGCCTCAGCCTCCTGAGTAGCTGGGATTACAGGCACGCACCACCATGCCCAGCTAATTTTTGTATTTTTAGTAGAGACGGGGTTTCACCATGTTGACCAGGATGGTCTCGATCTCTTGACCTCGTGATCCACCCGCCTCGGCCTCCCAAAGTGCTGGGATTACAGGCTTGAGCCACCGCGCTCGGCCCTGCATAACTGTATTTTTACTCTTTAATGCTAATAAATAGCGTAGATGCTAATAAGCATTTAGGTCTATAAAAAGTCAGCTTTGCTAATGTATATAGATAGCTTTAAACGTTGTTTTCTAGCATTTAAACACCTTAAAATCATCCAGTTGTTTGATTTGGCCTAGCTGTCTAAAAGGCGAGAGTGAGCCCAGGTGAAGAAAAGAGATTGGTTTTATGGAGGTTTTATGGAGCTAGAATGAGAGGAGAGAGGAGAGGGTTGAGTGAATGGAAAGAGTAGCTCATGCGCTGCCTACATCTGTAGTTTAAGAGGGGCTGGGTCAGGTGTTTTGCTTGTTTTCTCTTCTCTAAATTCTTTGATTCTCTGACACCATTCACTATATTTCAGTGTGAATGATTTGATTGTTTCAGATAAAGGAGACTGCAGTAGTAGCTTGTGACATGAAGGCAAGATTTACTCCATGTTAGAGGCAGGCTTTAGAAAATGGTCCACTCTTCCAATTGATGTTTGTTTTTATAGCTGTTTTTGTTAGGAAATATAACCTAATCCCTGACTAGGTCAAAATCATGTAACAATGGTTCGCTAAAATTCCTTACTGATATAAAGCTTATGTTATGTTCCAAAAAGATGAATATTAAAATTTGCCAATAACGTTTATTTAAATATCATTTTCTTCAGAGGAAAAAAAACCCCTATTTTGTGTAGAAGAGAAGTATCTATACACTATGACTCACTTCACTTAAAAAAAAAAAAAAGAAAGAAAAGACTAACGGAAATGACGGGAGAGACTGGGAAGTTCTAGTCATCTTCAGTGACCCATTAGATCTAAATGTTCTCGTTTAGCCCTGGTTTGAGTGAACTAAATTTAGGCGTCTGATCAGTACTTTGGAAATGGTGTGAATACCTTTGTAATTGTCTAGGCTGATATTAAATTAACTGGGAGCAAAAGTAGAAATAGTGGAGGGAAAAACTTTTTGCTATTGTTATTTGACATCACTGGCATATTTATAGGAATACTTTGGTGTTTTTGGAAGTGAGTAAACCACACCAGATGGTTCCAAAAAGTCAGCTGGGGGATAATGGTAATGCCGCTTTTTCTTAGCTCCAGCTTATCTGCTGTTGCTCCTCCTGCATTTTGCATTTTATCACGAATAGCTCCTCAAAACCTAAAATACCAAGTATTGAATAATGTAATTGAATATATACTGAATTTCACGGTAGAAACGAGTAAGAAATTTCCTATGGAGATTTTTTGACTTAGCTACTGAAATTACGACCTTTTCTTACCTGTTTCTTTCCCTTTTCTCTTTGTTAAAGAAAACTCTCTTCTGATCTTTTAGATTACAGAATCCTTTTGGCAATTTTTGTTTCTTGCAGTGCTTTTTCTTTCTTTTTTTCAAATAGAGATGGGGGTTTTGCTGTGTTGACCAGGTGGGTCTTGAACTCCTGGCTTCGAGCGATCCTCCCACCTTGGCCTCCTGAAGTTGGGATTGCAGGTGTGAGCCACCGTGCCTGGCTTGCGGGTACTTTTTCTGAGGCCTGCCTGAGCCTATATATATTTTGCACAATTTGGCATTCCTCCCTACAGTGTTTATGCTAATTTGTTTCTGGTAACAGCTAATGATGGCAAATAGACTGGGCGTGTTCCTTTATGCTGCCCATGTTCAGGAAAATTGGAATTGTATCTGGGTCATTGTTACCAGATGATGTAGTTTGGCACCAGCCATTCCGTGTGCACATTTTGTGTATCCAGGAGGGCTGGGGATTTTGGAGTAGTCGGTGATCCCCTCTGCCACATTTCACTGGTTGGTCACTATGGTATCCTTCCCACCACATTAGAAGTCCAGGTTCTCAGATGTTGCTTATGAGCCTGCAGTGGTTTCTAGTTTCACACTGCAGAAAGGAGTGGAACCGG